TGAGCACGTGTGCATACACGCACACACGCAAACACACACACCATGTATGCGTGCACGCACCTCTATAACAGTCTGGTTATGTCCTTTGCCTATTTTTCTTTAGACCTGCTGGTCATTATTTATGTATTTCAGTTCTTAACTTTAAAAATTTTATTTTTAAATAATTTCAAACTTAAAGTAAAATTGCAAGAATAGTTGCAAAGACTCCTATAACCCTTTACCCAAAATCACTAATTTTAAACATTTCCCATGTATGTTTTACAATTCTCTCCTCTTTATAGATCTATATCTGCCCCCCTATTATCTTAATCTGAACCATTTGAAATGCTTAGATATTCCCGAGAACAAGAATGTTCTCTTATGTAAACAGTATCAAATTATCAAATCCAAGAAATTTGATATTGTTACCATACCTGAAGCTACAATCATAGTCCGGTTTCACCAGCTGGCCCCGCACTGTTCTTTGTGGCATTTTGATCTTCGGGATGGGATCCCGTCCAGGGCCTTCCACTGCACTTGGTGCCCTGTCTCCCTAGTCTCCTTGAATCTGGGAATGTTGTGCGGCCCTGCTTTTGTCTTTCATTATGTTGACATTTTGACAAGTTCAGGCCACCTATTTTCTAGGCTCTCTAGATTTGGGCTGATCTGATGTATCCCATCGTTAGGCTGATCTGATGTATCCCATCGTTAGCCTGGGACAGATTGTAGATTTTTGGCAGGGATATCATAGAAATGATGCTGGGTCCTTCCTAGAGCATCACATCCAGAGACACCTGACATTCATTTGTCCCTAGTTGGTGATGTTAATTTATTTTTATTTATTTTATTTTATTTTATTTATTTATTTTTATTGTGGTAACATTGGTTTACAACATTGTATATATTTCAGGTGTACATCATTATACTTCTATTTCTGCATAGATTACATCACGTTCACCATGGTGATGTTAATTTTAATGACTTCGTTAAGGTGATGTCCGTTTCTCCAACTTATAGCTACCACTTCTTTTGTAATAAGTAACTGGTGAGGAGATACTTTGACACAAATCCAAATATCCTGTTTCTCATCAAATTCTCCACACTCCCACATTAAGTGTCCATTGAATCTTCTTGCCTGAATCGCTTTTTACTATGATGGTCTAAATCCGTCATTCCCTTCATATTTATTTATCAGCATTATCAGTATGGATTCATGACTCTTAATTTTATTCAATGCATTTTAATCCATTACTGTTCTTCTTATGTCTATGTATATATATGTATGTATTTGTGTATTTGGATGTTCAAACTGTCCCAGGTATACAAATATATTAGAAATGTACGAGAAACCGTGTGTTTACACCTCCAATTCACATCCTACCCCAAGGGATTCTTCCTTGCCTCCCCTGTTCCATATCTGCATCTCTCTTCTTGATCAATCCTACAAAACATATAAATAACGTCACATTTGCTGTACCCATTCCACCATGAAAAACGAACCTGGAAACAAGTCTGCAAGATTTGTTTGCAGTCTTTTATGTTTCAAACTGAGGGTATATTGGCCAAGCACTGTGTTCAAAATTCCTTGGATTAATTCTCTTTTTCCCCTTCAGCATGGTTGTGTTATCTATTTGGAATATGTTTGAATTCACTTGTTTTTCATTTGGTTTCAGAGCTTTCCTCACCTTGGTCATTTAGTTTTATTTTTGAATATATGGAACATTAACATTATCCCAAAGCCTAAGCCATGTGAAAAGGTACAAGAAGAGAAGCCCATTCCCTCCCACCCCTTCCATCCCGTCCCCCTCCCCCATTCCTTGCAGATGACCACTTAGTTTCCAGTTTATCCTTCTCGTATTTCTTTTTTCAAGGACAAGCATATTTGTGCATGCTTTTTTATTTCTTTTTCTTCCTGAACAAACTCAGTTCATAGGGGTCTTCCTCATTTTTTCGTTACATCTTCATAGTACCCTATTGTTTAATCAACCATTGGCCTGTGTTTGAGTATTTAAGTAATTTCCAATATTGTGCAATTATAAATAATGTTCCAATTAGTAACCTTAGGCAGATTATTTTTAAAAAAATGTTGGAGGTGTGTCTTTAGGCTAAATTTCTAGAAGTGGGACTTCTGGATCAAAAATGAATATATCTGTATTTTTGTTGTATGTATTTGATTGAATAGTGTCCCCCAAAAAGATATGTCCAAGTCCTAACTCCCAGTGCCTATGGATGTGACCTTATTTAGAAAAGGGGTCTTTGCAGATGTAATTAAGATAAAGATCTCAAGAGGAGATCGTCCTGGATTTAGGGTGGGCCCTAACTCCATGGCAGGTGACTATAAGAGAAAGGCAGACGGAGATTTGAGACACAGAGAGAGAGAAGAAGACGAGGCTGTGTGAGGACGGAAGCTGAGATAGGAGCACAGGTCTACAAGCCATGGAACGCCAAGCACCGCCGGCCGCCACCAGAAGCTGGGAGAGAGCGTGGAGGGATTCCCTCTCAGAGCATCTGGAAGGAACGAATCCTGCTCACATACTCATCTCAGACTTCTGCCTCCCAAACTGGGAAAGAACTTATTTGTGTTTTAAGCCACCTTGTGTGTGATAATTTGTCACATCAGTCTTAGGATATGAATATATTTTATATTACCAAATTCCCTTCCACAGCGGACTTTTTGCGTTCCCACTAGCAGTGTATGAGAACGACTGTTTCCACACAACCAATAGAATGTATTGTGAAGCTTTCAAATTTTTGCCAATGTGATGGATACGAAATGATATCTCAGTGTAGTTTTAATTTGCTTTTTTTATTATAGGTGAAGTCGAGCATATTTTCATATGTTTAAGCACCGTATATTAGGGATATTATCTCTTTATCAGTGACATAGCTTGCATATATTTCTCTCAAGTTTTCATTTCTTTTGACATTGCTTATGAATTTTTGACCATGCAATTAAAAAAAATTTTTTGTGTGTAGTCAAATTTGTCAATCCCTTCTTCAATTTCCTCTGGACTCTGAGTCGTAGTTAGAAAACCTTTTCCTACACCTGAGTTATAGAGGAATTTACCCACGTTTTCTTCTAGACTTGTAGTTTCTTTTGTTTTTTTCTCATTTAGATCTCTGAGTCTTAGTTTATTTTTGTATATGGTGTGAGGAATGGATCTAATTTCATCCTTTTTTTCCTAAATGGCTATCAAGTTGTCCCAATACCATTTATTTAAAAATCCTCTATCAAATATTAAATTTTCATTTGTACTTGAGTCTATTTCCAGACTTTCTAACCTATTTCATCGATCTGCCTATCTATTCATGTACCAGTCCTACAGATTTAATTAAAGAACCTGTGTGGTATGCTTTAATATTTGGTAGGGCTAGTCCCCTATCCTCCCCCTCTGCCCGTGATATTTTTTCCTTTTCAATGCTTTCCTGGCTATTCATGTGTATTTTTCTATATGAACTTTGGTATCATCTTGTCTATCTCTAGAAGAAAAAACTGTTAGTATTTTTATTGGGATACCACTAAATTGTTAAATTAACTTAGGAAAAACTGATATCTAGATTATATTGAGGCATCTTACTCAAGGAGGAATATCTTTCCATTTGTTCAAGTCTAATTTTCTTCTTTAAGGAGTATTTTATGATTTTCTAAATACAGATTTGACACATTTCCTGTTTATTTCTATGTTGTATCTTTTTTGGTTGCTATTCGGTTTTCTCTTCCATTATAGGTTTTAAGTGGCTGTTATTTGTGTATATGAAGGCTATTGTTTTTGCATGTTAATTTTCTATCCTTATATCTTGCTGAATTCTTTTACTGTTTATGATTGATTTGCTATAGTTATGCAGGTATATTACATGTTGTCTGCAAATAGAGTTGTACTTCATTTTGTCCAATTCTACGGGTCTGCTACTCTAATTGCGTGTCTAATACTCCCGGGACCATGTGACATGGTAGTGGATGTAACGAGCAGCCTCGTCTTACTCTTGACCTTAGTGGGACTGCTTTAGTGTTTTCTCATTAAGATGCTGGCTTTAGGATTCAGGTAGATATATGTATATATATATTTGTGTGTGTACGTGTATATTAGAGAGGTATGAATATGTATATTTAAGGAAGTATCTTTCAATTCTTATTTCTCAAGATATATGCCCAATCTATCTATCATCATCATCATCTGTCATCTATCTATCCATTCTTCTATCCATCTGGTTCTTCTTCATTTCATTTAATGCTTTTCGTTCTGAACCAGGAGGGTCAGGCCTCTTCCTCCTGAAATGTCTCTCTAGCGCCCTCTACTGACAAATCTTAACACCATGCCCAGGTGGTAAAGTAAAGGTATTTAAAAGGTCCACTTTGCAGAGCAGCAACGAAGGGAGGATTTGGAGTTGAGAAGCAATAAGTTGCAAATTATTTTTGATTTAAACAGTTAATTATATTTTCAAGATATTTAAAAAATATTATATACTTATCCACATATTTGTCCTTTCCAGTGCTCTTCATTCTTTCGTGGGGGTCCAAGTTTCCATCTAGAATCATCTTGTTTCTGCCTAAAGAACTACTTTACAAATTTCTTTAGAGAAGGTGATAAACTTTCTCACCTTTGTTTGTCTGAAAAAAGTCTTTATTTTGCTTTCATTTTTGTAGGATTTTTTTTCTTTTTTTTTTTTGCTTTTTGAATGATAATATGACGTTTCCCCGCCAGCACCTTAAGGACATTTTCCCATTGTGTTTTGGCTTGCATGATTTCTTCTTTTTAAACTTATTGTCTAGAAATAATTTCAAACTTACAAAAGTAATAGTTTCCATATACCCTTCATCTAGCTTCCACATATTCCATAAGCACAAGGATCAAAACCAGGAAATCAGATTGGTACTAGATTATACTGATATTATTCAAATTTTGTCAATTGCCCCACCCTTCTCCTTCAACACCCTGTCATCAGTCTCAATGACAGCTACTTCTTACAGGAAGAGGACCTGGGGCAGACTGGGGGAACCTCCCCCTCCCCAGAGCATTTCTGTGGGGTCCCCCGTGTCCAAAGTCAGACGGCTCTGCGGCTCCTGGGGGCGCAGCCTTAGGTGGGATTCACAACCTTGATGAGGAAAAGGCTGCTCCACGTGAAGTGGTCGAAGACCAGGAGGAGGAAGGGCCGGTCGAAGCGGACGGTGAGGGGCTCGGACACCGCGTGGGCGGTGATCGCGGCGGGGGCGTTTGCCCTCGCGCCCTTCTCGTCCAGCTGCAGCCTGGACTGATGCAGCACCTGTTGGGTGGGGACGGGAGGCGGTGGCGGAGCGTCCGCTCTGCGTTGGGAGCCTTCCTCGCCGCCTCGCCCGGGCTCCTCCCACCCTCGGTTTTAGGGACGGGACGGCGAAGCGGAGGCTCAGAGAAGGTCACCTGCTGGCTCCTCGTCTAAGTGGCGGCCCCAGGACTGGAGCCGAGGCCTGTCCGCCTCCAGAACGCGGGCTGCTGGACTGCCTCCCCAGAAAGCCCGCGGGTGGAGCCCTCTCCGTGGAGGTCGGGGGTCTGGCGGCCCGAGCTGGACTTCAGCGTCCGTGTGGGCGCTCCTGACCGGGCCCTGGGCGGGCACAGGGAGACCTTTCCACTCTGCTAGGTAAACGCCAGGGTTCAGGTTATGCAAAGTGCCCGCGCCTGCTCTGTGTGGAAAAGGGCCATCTCTGACTGCTGAAACGGTTCTTGTGATCACAATTAGAAGGAAAGCAGCAAAGCGCTTGAGTAGCTTGTATCAAGTCTCGGGTGGATCAGAACTGGCTAATTAAATAACACACCCTATGGGCGGGGGACTCGCATTCACTGCACAGCAAGGAACTGCAGGCTCTGAGCGGCTCTGGAAATAGGCACGTGGCTGGGCAGAAGCTGGGATAGGAACCCCTGCGGTGTCTCAGGAATCTGAGGTTTTGAGTCAAACAGAGCCTAGGTCAGATGTCAGACTAAGTCCTAGCTCTGTGAGTTATTACCCTCCCGAGCCAGAGATTCCTCCTCCGAGAAACTGGGATAACCCCCACCTGACACGGAGGTAGCTGGACTCAGTCCCCACACACCGCGCATCTTATCCAGCACGATCCGTGTGCCAGGGAGCACGGGGGTCAGAGCCTGTGCTTGAGGGAGGGGGCTGCCACTACAGCCTCCTCCTGTCCTCCCTGTTTTGTCACCTGTAAGGTCCTGTGCGGGCAGGGCCACGTGTGCGCAGTGGAGGCAGACCCAGTGCCTAGCACAGTGTGGGGCCCACAGTAGATGTTCAATAGATGTTTTCTGAATGCGTGACTGAATCCCAGACCACGAAGTGAAGACGAGGACAATGAACGTAATGGCGGAAGGCTCCTGTGACCTCATGTAGACATGTCCCCCCTTCCTGGTTCCTTTTTGTCGGGGGCCGCTCACAGTGCAGCCACGACGACTGTGTTGTTCACAATGCCCCCTCGGAGTGGCCTGGTAGAGCAGGCAGACGTCCAGACTGCAGCCCTCCCTTGTCACCATCTCCCTGTGTGACCTCAGGGACGTCACATTTCCTTCTGAGCCTCCACCGAGCCTGTTGTAGGACTAGGGGCTGGGACAAGCCCTGGGGCTCCCAGCCTGGGGCCTAGAGGCCTCCTCATGAATGGGCTCCATGTTCCTTATTATTATTTGTATTGTGAATTTGGGGAGAAAAATGGGCTCTAGAGACACTTACCTTCAGCGGGGTGGAGACACTAGCCTCTCTGGTGATGCCTGAGAAATCTGCCTTGTTGTTGTGCAAGTCTGCAATGCCCAAGTCCCTCAGGATGTCCCCGAGGTCACAGGCTCCGGAGATGGAGACCTTCGGGATGTACAGGTTCAGGTGTCTGCTCGGCGGGGAAGCAGATGGGGTTAGACCTTCCCGGGGCTGGGCCTGGCCAGCCCGACCCTCATTCGCCCTGCGATCCCTCCAGACCCTGCCTCCCAGCCGGACATGCTCTTTGGGGAGGGGGAGGGGGCAGGACAAGACGCAGGATCACCTCTCCCCCCACCACACAGGCAGCTTCCTCTTTGGGCCTCTGAATTGCAAACTCTTTTCTTCTCAGATCTTTCTTTGAGCTGACTCCACCTGTGATACGCTGGACCACTGGACATTGAAGACAAGGGTCCCTAAAGGAGTCCTTGTGGTCCCCCAAGCACCCCCTGGCAGACGCTGAGGAGTCGAGGAAGCAGCCGGCTGGGAGCAGGGGTCCTGGCCCCAGTTCTGCCACCCATGCTCTGTGGCTTTAGCCAAGTCCTGTCCCTCTCTGTGCTCGTGTCCTCATCAATACAGCAAGGCAGCACAGCACAACAAGGGCCTCTCTCAGGGCCCTGCAGCAGGTTCCACTGGATACAGCAGGTTTCTAGAAAGGTAGGTGGAATCAGGCTGGGGCTGGGGCTGGGGTGGGCACCTGCACGTTTTTACCTATCAAGGCAGTAGTTTCATTTAAAAATTTCTTCCTTTTCCTGCTCTCCAGAGGGAGAGAAGATGCCAGAAACCCTGAAGCTGGGGGGTGTCAGCATAGGGCCCGGGATCTCCAGCAGGAGGAGGGGAGGCACGAGACCTTCTCTTCACTGAGCAACAGCCACCCTGGGGGAAGCCTGGAGCTGGCAACCTGCCAGTCTGAATTAAGAGTTACTATTCCAGGGATGAATGGATTAAATTAGATCCCTGCATTGAGCTCCAACATTCTCCTCTTCCACATTCCTTGTGCATTTGCCTTTTTCTTTGCAAATATCATTGCAAAGATCTGAGGAGGACTTGAAGGTGAGAGGGACGTGTCACTTCTCCTCTAGATGGGAAATGGCAACTGAGAGGAAGGGAGACCACCGACACCAAGCACCAGGCAGACGTTCTTCACCTTTTTTATCTCATCTAAATCTAGCGCGCACACACACACACAACCTTATGAAGATTCAACATCTTGAATTTCCAGAGACTGAAACTCGAGCTGAGCATTTCCCCAGTCACACCACTGGGAAGCAGCAGAATTGTGAAGAAACCAGGACTAGTTGCCTCAAAGCCCCATCGCCTCACCCTCGGAGAGCTGCCCGCAGGACACAGCACAGCGGGTTGGTAAGTGACAACAGAACAAGGGGACAGAATGGCAGGCTGAGAGGGCGAGCGCTCTGTGAGGGGGCACAGAGGCTTCCCTGGGAGGTGGGGTATGCTGGACCCTGAAAGATGCATAGGAGACCCAGCTCTGATACATTGGAGAGCTGGGGGTGGATGTGGGGGTGATACTGGGAGGGGGGAGAAGGGGTGACTCCGGCGTGGAGGTGAGCAACCGTAGGGCCTGTCCTCTGGGACCCCAGGGGACATCATTCGGAGGGCGTAGAGAATTCATGCCCAGTGAAATATGAGGACTAAAGGTGCAAAATTTTACCTTGGATGTTTATTTTTAAAAACTTAGAAGAGAATGGCATGTGTTATTGGTTAATGTTAAAGTATTTTAGTAAAGAGATTATTTTTGGTGCAAAAAGAAAGATTATCCTTCACCTCCTTTTCTACAGACTAGGGTCCAGAATTTGTTTGAATCGTGGTGCAGTGTCACCCCCTGGTGGCCCTGTACCTGAATTACAGGTTCCCTTCCAGGGGTGGGGGTGAGGTGGGGATGGGACAGTTGACATGGGGAAGGGCAAACAAATGGATCCCTTCCGTCGCCTAAACACAGCCTCCCGTGCATGTGTGTGCACACACGCGCACACACTCAAGGGTAGGTGTGAAGAGTCTAAGAACGCCTCTGTGTCCCCCAGAGCTACAGGAGATCTCTCTGACGCACAGCGCTGACCACACCGCCCTTCCCTGCAGGACTGAGGCCAAGCTCCAGGCTCTCCCACGTCTACTCACGGACCAGGATTAACCTCCCCAGAAGCACCCAGCATCGAGCTGCTCTCTGAGGGTGTAATTCAAAATAGAATAACTCGAAACGATAAAACACAAAACCTACATATATAATAGAGTAGAAGAGCTTCTTTCTAGATTTTCTGCCCACAAAATTCTTGGATTACAAAGTTCATCCAAGCAGTGCTCATCTCCTTCTTTGCTGCTGCGGCGCCGCCTCTGCTGGCGCCCCGGCGCAGCCTCCTCGGTTGGGGCCATTCCCTCTTCTGCGCATGCTCTCGGGGCTACTTCCGCTGGCTGAACTTCGCTCGGACTTAACGCACAGTTCAAAGCGAAAGCAATCGGTTCTGCAGCCACGTCCCCAGAGCGCTGGGGCACCGTCAGGCATCCCTCCATCCCCCCCAGCATTTCACCCATTTACACCTCCTTCCTTCCTCTCGCTCTGACGGAACTGTCGTCAATGAGCCACCATTAATTCCACCAGCGTCTGTTCTCTGCTCTGGAAGGCATGTCTTTGAGGTCTGTGTTCTGCCTTAATCACCGTTCTATGCCTTGTGCTTAGCTTAGTGCATGGTACACAGCAGGCGCTTCCATTTATAGTAAACGAATGAATGAACGAATGAATGAAATGGCACCTGCTCCATGAGACTTCCTGAGCTACTCCAGATCCAAGCGCCCTCTCCCTCCCCTGTGTCCCCTCAGCCCTTTGAGTCTGCACCATCCTACCCACCACCAGGTCCCACGTCAGCTGGCGTTATTCTGATTGCTCGTGCACAGACAGAACTAGGATCTCCCAAGAGTGAGGATCACGTTCTCAAGAACATCTGCTCCCTTCTCCAGGGTGATAATCGGGGCTGAGCACATGCTTGACCATAATTTTGATTGTCCTCTATCTCAGAGGTGCCTGGGGCAAGATGGGTTCATTGGTTCGTTCATTCATTCGTTGCTCGCTCACATTTTCAGCCAACCCTTCCTGAGCGGGCACTCCGACCCGCCCCTTGCTTGGGCCTGAGATTCACTGGCTGGTTCTCCTCCTGATCACCGGCCCATCAGCACACACACTCCTCACTCTCTTCTTCCTGACTCCTGTATTACCTACTTAGGTCATTACTTTCTTGCTTATTTACTGATTGATTGAAGAAAAGTTAGTTCCTGTGAGTGACTTAAGAACCATTCATAGGCTTTGTGTTGGTCCCATGATGGATATAGTGGCCATTTTAATTATATTTTTTTATGAGGTCTCTCAGGAATCTTGAGCAGTGCTTGGTTTCAGGTCAGCAAGATAATAAAATGGATAAGTGGGGCGCTGGGCAGTTGTTGGACTCAGTTTAAGAAAATGATGCAAAAATGTGATAGTACAGAGGGTGCCTATTAACCTTCCAGGGAAGGGGGACCTCTTTGTGGAATGCCCCTAAGTATATCAGTGTCAACTGACAGATGAATAAATAAGTGTGACCTCTAGGTAGAGAATCTTATGGCCTTTGGGGACCCAGCAGACTGGAAAACAATGAGCCCAGAGTCTGGGGGAAGGAGGACAAGGGCTTACCTTCTGGTCAGGGACTCACCCCACCTCTGAATGGTGTCCCGGCTCAGCGCGGTGATGACTGTGTCTATCTTCCCCTCGTCTGGAAGGACGAAGAAGACAGTCCCATTGTGCGTGTAGTCCAACTGTACCAGCCGGCAGGGAAGCACTGGGTCATTAAGGTACTTGATGGCGCGCGACTGGAACATCATGGGCACCTTCATCACGGTCGTCTCGTTCATATAGAAGTTCTCCTCCCTAGTGCGTTTCTGGTTGAAGGGGTGTACCCATGTGCCTGGGAAGAGGAGGGAGAGGGAGGGCAAGAGATAGGGCTGTGAGAGCAGAGGAAAACGCAGCTTGGGTGGCAGCAGAGCGCCAGGGGTAACCGCTAAGCAAGTTACACAGCATCCCCCCTCACCCCGGAAGGTCACCACCAGAGTTGCTAGAGTTTCCTGGTAAGATATGAAATTCCCAGAGGTTTAAAGCCTGTTCCATCCTCCACCCCTTGGAACGGATTGAGGAGTCTCTCCATTTCTGAGATTGACTTCTAAAAACGGAAGGAGAGAGGGAACAAGAGAATGCTGGCCCTAGGATTTGGGGGTAGGATTCAGTAAACCAGAGTTGGGCCCTGGAGTGGATCCTGGGTTGGAGGGCTCTGGAAGTGGTGCAGGGTCTCAGGCTGTGAATGAAAAGCTCCTGGGAGATTTTGGGCAATGGACCATCCTTTCCATCCCTGACCCCTGACGTCCTGGCCACAGAAGCCTAGCAGGCAGCCTGGCCCCCCCAGAGGATTGTACCCACTCCCCTGTAGGAGGCTCCTGAGCTCCCTCATGGCCCCAAGGGCTACACAACATTTCCTAGGGACGGAGTCAAGGTGAGAAGTTTCCTTCAAGGATGCAGACTCCCACCTCCAGCTGGACTCGAATCCCCTCTACCATGTTCCATGATGTCATCATGCAATCTGTTTGTCCCTCTTGCGATGGGGAACTCACTACTTCACAGATGGGACTTTCCACTACTGGTCAGCTCCGAGGGGAAGAAAATTGCTCCTTAGACCGAGCCAAAGCCTGCCTGATTGCAATGCCTGCCTCCTGAGCCTCCTCGGTCCTTCTGAGCTTGTTCTAAGCAACTCCAAGTCCTCTTGCAGGTGATAGAACTTTGGATATTTAAAGCCATGGGTTGTGTCTCACCAAGGCCCCCTCTGCTCTAGGTTAAGTCTCCCCAGGTTTGGGGATGACTGAGGACCCTGAGTCCAGCAGGTCCCAGGTGTCCTGGCTACCCTTGACCTCAAGCCGAGAAGTCCTTGGGAGGGCACTGTTTCCCAACTGAGGCTGCCTGAAGGTGGGCAGAGCATAGCTCCAGGCAGACCCTTCTCCATCCCACAGCCTGTGGGATCTATAGACCATGAGGCCAAAACTCGCGGTTCTGAGCCAGCTTCAACCCTGCTGTAAGGACCCCTAATGGAGACCACAGGGAGGGGCCAGAGGATGTAGGGAAAAGAGCTTTGGATGCAGAGCCTGGAGGCCCAGGGGCTATGCTTGGTCCATCCCTAATGACTGAGTGTGAAGCCACAGTCTGGCTGTCTCCCAGCAAGTGAGATAATTTGAGGGTTCTCAAACCATCCTCCAAAGGAAGTCTGGGCTCCTCAGAACTGAAGGGGATGGTGTTTTATCCAACTTATAGGAAAAAAAGAATGTGGATAAAATACTTTTCAGTGTTAGGTTTTTCATCCTTAAAAGTTTGCTGCTTGGTTTATACTGAGTATTTCTTTCCCAGAAGCAAGCATAACATATCCAGTGTGGCGCAAAACAGCATACAGGATGGGGTCTAACCTCTACTTTAAGGGATTTCTTCCTGAATATTCTTGGGCTATGAAAACTCCTGGTAGAGAAACTTAAGAATTTATGGGGTTGGGGCCGGACCGGTGGTGCAAGCAGTTAAGTGCACACACTCCACTGTGGCGGCCCGGGGTTCGCCAGTTCAGATCCCAGGCACGCACCAATGCACACAAGCCATGCTGTGGCGTGCGTCCCATATAAAGTGGAGGAAGATGGTCATGGATGTTAGCCCAGGGCCAGTCTTCCTCAGCAAAAAGAGGAGGATTGGCAGATGTTAGCTCAGGGCCGATCTTCCTCACCAAAAAAAAAATAAATTAATTAAAAATAAAAGAATTTATGGGGGTTATCTGAGAGAGAAAGAGGATTCCTCTGGAAAATCTTTTAACAATATTTTAATGTTCTCTAAAAAGAGTTGTCAAGACAGTGCACTAAGTAAGGAAGATGTCTTCTCCTGCATTCAAATGTTCAAAGCCTCTCTGATTTTATTACCAGGAATTATTGTTTCCCATCAGCTCTGGCCCATGGTGGTCCTGAGGATGCTGAGAAACCATGAAAGAAGTCCTGTGCCGAGTTATGCCATGCCAGCATCTGTGCCACCAGCCCACCCACAGGTGCTCAGGCCCCTCTCGGGCTCAGGAGGGCCCTTGCTGTTCCTGGGTTTACTGTGTCTTTCTCCCAAAACTGTGTTGCCAGAACCTCTATGCAACCACTTTTGAGCTCCTTCTATGTGCCAAGCACTATGCAAAGGCACTGGGGCCCCCAAACAGTCAAGGATGCCATGCACAAGGGTGTACAGTCTAGAGGGGGCGATGGCCCGTGAAATTTGTGGGAGCACCCTGAACCATTTCTGCGCAAATGTTCCCAGACTCCTTGGCCCTCCCACTGTCAGGTGTAGAGAATCCTACTTTCATATAGAACTACAAAAGACCCCAAATATCCAAAGCAATCCTGAGAAAGAAGAACAAAGCGGGAGGCATCACACTTCCTGATTTTAAACTATATTAAAAATCTGTAGTAATCAAAAAAGTATGGTACTGGCATGAAAACAGACACCTAGACCAATGGAACAGAATCAAGAGCCCAAAAGTAAACCCCCACATATAGGGTCAACTAATATTTGACAAGGGAGCCAAGACGACTCAATGGGGAAAAGATAATCTCTTCAGTAAATGGTGCTGGGAAACTGGACAGCCATGTGCAAAGGAATGAGACTAGAACCCTCTCTCACACCACTCACCAAACTTAACTCAAAATGGAATAAAATGAAAGACCTGAAACCATAAAACTCCTATAAGAAAACATACGAAACACCTCCTTGATGTTGGTCTTGTCAATGATATTTTTGGCTACGACACCAAGAGCACAAGCAGCAAAAGTGAAAATCAACAAATGGGACTACATCAAACTAAAAAGCTTCTGCTCAGCAAAGGAAACCATCAGCAAAATGAAGAGGCAGCCTATGGAATGGGAGAAAGTATTTGCAAACCGTATATCTGATAAGGAGTTAATATCCAAAATATATAAAGAACTCATACAACTCAATAGCAAAAAGACCAAATAATCCAAATAAAAAATGGCAGAGGATCTGAGTAGACATTTCCGACAGAAGACATACAAATGGCCAACAGGCACATGAAAAGCTGCCCAACATCACTGATCATCAGGGAAATGTGAATCAAAACCACAGTGAAATATCCCCACACACCTGTTAGAATGGCCATCACCAAAAAGACAAGGGATAACAAGCGCTGGTGTGGATGTGGAGAAAAGGGAGCCCTCGTACACTGTTGGTGGGATTGTAAATCGGTGCAGCCACTACGGAAAATAGTATGGAGGTTCCTCAAAAGATTAAAAATAGAACTACCGTATGATCCAGCAATCCCACTTCTGGTAATATATCCAAAGGAAACGAAATCACTAACTTGAAGAGATATCTGTTCCCCCACATTCACTGCATCATTACTTACAATAATCATGACAAGGAAACAGCCATAGTATCCATCAATGAATGAATGGATAAAGAAAATGTGGTGTTGGGCCGGCCCCGTGGCTTAGCGGTTAAGTGGGCGCGCTCTGCTGCTGGTGGCCCGGGTTCGGATCCCGGGCGCGCACCGATGCACCTCTTCTCCAGCCACGCTGAGGCCGCGTCCCACATACAGCAACTAGAATGATGTGCAACTATGATATACAACTATCTACTGGGGCTTTGGGGGGAAAATAAATAAATAAATAAAATTAAAATTCTCCAAGAGATGCTTTGAGCCTCCTTGGAAAAAACTCTTTAAAAAAAAAAAAGAAAATGTGGTGTATATATATACACAATGGAATATTATCTAGCCATCAGAAAAGGAAATCCTGCTATTTGTGACAAGATGGATGAACTTGGAGGGCCTTATGCTAAGTGAAATAATGAAATTTCTCAGACAGAGAAAGACAAATACTGTATGATCTCTTTTATATGTGGAATTTAAAAATGTCAAACTCATAGAAACAGAGAATAGAATAGTGGTTGCCAGGGTGTGGGGTTGAGGGAAAGGGGGAGATGTTGGTCAAAGGGTACCAACTTCCAGTTATAAGATTAATAAGTTCTGGGGATCTAATGTACGGTGTGGAGACTGCGGTTAACAACACTGTATTATAGACTTGAAAGTTGCTAAGAGAGTAGATCTTAAAAATTCTCAATGCACACACACAAAGGTAACAATGTGAGGTGATGGATGTGTTAACTAACCCTATTGTGGTAATCATTTCCCAATATATACATATATCAAATCATCACGTTGTACCCTAAACATACACAGTATTATAAGTCAATTATATCTCAATAAAGTTGGAGAAAATAAAAGCATGCTGCCTTGGCCTGTCTGTCACCCTCTCCATCCTCCAAGGAGGGAGGCCTCTGCCAGGTGGGTCCCCAGACTTGTGCTGGAGAATGCGCAGGGAAAGACCAAGAGGCAGGAGGAGGAGGACTCCCTGAGATGCTGAGTCAGTCCAGGTAATAAAGACCTGGAGGCGGGCAGCTGGCTAATGGGAGGCCCTGAGTGAGAGCTGGGGAGGAGAGAAGTGGGTGCATGAGGAGTCTTTGCTGGGGGCTTTGATTTGGATGATCTTTAATGTTGTTAAGAAATACATGTTAAATATTATAATTACTTTTTTTTTTTTTTTTTTTGCTGTTTCACCAGCACTTCTTTGAATATGACTGCTTAACTGAAACTGAACCACTTGTGTCCAGGGTTACACGTTCTACCAAGATGATTGTTAAAATGAGATGTGGGAAAACTGCAGAGGATGCCTGTGAGAAACAGTGATTTGCCTGAAGGAATCAGGGGAGGCTTCATGGAGGAGGTGACTTGTGAGCCAAGATTTGCAGGGTGGGAAGAAATTTTAGGCAGTCAGCCAAGTTGATGGAGGGCTCAGGGGACAAAAAGGGCATGGGCTTTGTGGCAGGTAGAATTGCCTCCCAAAGATGTCCATATCCCAGTCCCCAGAACCCGTGAATATGTTATGTTACATGGCGAGAGGAATTTAAAGTTGCTAATCAACTGACCTGGAGATGAGGAGATTATTCCACATTACCCAGGTGGGCCCAATAATCACAAGGGTCCTTAAAAGTGGAAGAGGAAGGCAGGAGGGTCAGAGTCAGGAAGGAGATGTGATGATGGAAGCAGAGGTTGGAGGGATGCGATTACTGGCTTTGAAGAGGGAAGGAGGCCATGAGCCAAGGAACGCAGGAGGCTTCTAGAAGCTGGAAAAGGCAAGGAATGGATTCTCCCCTAGAGCCTCCAGAACCTGCCAACACCTTGGTTTTAAGCCATCATGACCCATTTTAGACTTCTGACCTCCAGAATTGTAAGATAAGAAATTTGCATTGTTTTAAGCCACCAAGTGTGTGACAATTTGTTACAGCAGCAACGGGGAACTTGTACAGCCTTCCATGGGGATAGTCATGCTCCAGGACATGAAAGGAATTCAGTGTGGTTGGACACTGTGTGTGTGCGCGTGTGTGTGTGTGTGTGTGTGTGTGTGTGTGTGTGTGTGTGTGTGTGTCTGCTGTGTGCTGGGAACTTGCAGGAAGGAAAATGTTGAGATGTGAGGCTGCAGAGGACAGAGAAGCAGATGACTCCGGGCCAGGGTTTCTCAGTCTTGGGACTATAGCCATTTAGGGGCAGACATCACTGTGGGGGGCTGTCCTGTGCATTGGAGGACGTTGAGCAGCCTCCCTGGCCTCCACCCACTAGATGCCAGTAGCACCCCTAGCCCCAGTTGGGACAACCAAAAATGTCCCGAGACACAGCCAAATGCCCCTGAGGGTGGATGGGGGTGGGGATCACCCTGGGTTGAGAACCACTGCTGTTGTAAGGAGTTGAGATTTTATTCTCAAGGATGATGTATCCCTGAATTGTCAGATCATAAAAACAATTGGGGGAGGGGGCCTTGTTAAAAATACAAATTCTAGGACGTTCCTGAGGAGGTATTGCTTCGGTAGGTTTGGCGTGGGCTCTGGAATCTGTAAAGTCTCCCTGGTGATTTTGGTGAACAGGCACTTTGGAAAAACCTGCTCCCAACTGGCGATGAGGGACGGCAGCCGGGCTGAGGCAGGACCTGCTCACGGCTGGCTGTGAGCACTCGAGAATTGGGTATAGGATGGCTTAAGGGCCATCTGGGAGTTCCTGAGGGTGGGGATCCATGGGGTTCTAGGCTGTGTTTCCAGCCATTGGCTCAGTGCCTGACTCACAGCCAGGCCTCAGCCAATATTTGTAGACTGTGAGGCAGCCAGACTGTTCCTGGTTATGTGTTTGGGCCTTGAACCAACCTGCAAGAGCTTGGGCAAGTCACTCAAGTCTGCTGGGTGTCATTTTGATCTTTCGTAGGATTATATAATTCCACCTTCCTAATAGGATTATGGTGAAGACGGAGACTCACAGACATGCTTGTGCTTTGTAAAATCAAAGGCTTTACCCAAGAATGCACCCTGGGTTTTGATAGCTGTTACTATTCTTGGAAATATAGATGGGGCCTTGTCAGAATGGGATGGGTGGAGGATACCTTTGAAGAAGATATAGTTGACCAGGATGAGCAAGGCTGGGCTGTCCAGCTCTGAGAACAAGTCCACAATTTTCCCCTGTGTCTTATTCTTGAGATACTCATTGATTTGTCTCCTGGCTCTGGCCCAGTCCTGGAAATCTGTAGCCAAGGCCTCCAACTCATAGTAGCGCTTGGTGTCTGCTGAGAACGACTCCAGAAGCTCCAGGCTGCAGTCAAAGAACAAGGTGTTGCCCACAATCATATCCAAGGTGGTGTTTGACTCTACAAGGAGGTGGCGGAGGTGCTGGAAACCATGGTGGATCCTGGGCTCAGACATCTTGGTGAGGTTGAAGCCCAGGCCCTGAAGAAGCTGGGTCCGTTTGTGGCCACAGGCACCCAGAGACAGCATAGCCAAGGCCATGGAGATGCTTAAAGGGGAGATGAAGACATTCTTGCCAGGAGCCGAGACCACAAGGTGCTTATACAAGCTAAAGGCAAAGTCAACGTTGCCTGGAGCCAGTTCCCGGTGAGGGCTTCTCGTGCTCATGTCAGCATCAGGGTCCTTAGCTTGGATGGTCCAGAGACCATCAATGGACAGCCAGAAGAGACAGGTGTACAGGGAAAGCAGCATTGTCCAGGTTGCCTGGGCCCTGCAAAATCAGGAATGCTTGTTAAATGATGTGGAGTCTCCAAGGCAGTGGCATATAGTGGAATGGTAGCCAGAAGGCCCCATTCAAGCCCCACTTCCTTCCTCCACATTAGCTGTATAACCTGGGGCAAGTCAGGACTCTGGGCCTCAGTTTCCTCATCTGAAAGTATAAATTATACCTGCTGCGAGTTATCACCTACCTGCCAGGTACCCAACACTGACCTAGGTGTTTTGACTGTATTTTCTCATCTAACCTCCACCAATAAATGAATAAAGTAGATATTATTATTCTGATTTTAGGTAGGCAGAAAGGGAGGCTCAGAACAATTAAATATCCACCCAATTGATATATTCAAAGTACTGAAAGAAAAAAAACTATCAACCAAGAATTCTATAACCAGCAAAACTGTCCTTCAAAAACCGAGGGAGAAATTAAGACATTCCCAGATAAACAAATCTGAGAGAGTTCATTACCACTGGAGCTGCCCTGCAAGAAATGCTAAAGGGAGTCCTGGTTGAAATGAAAGGACACCAGAGAGTAGCTAGAATCTGTATGAAGTAATGAAGATGTTGAGTAAAAGTAAATACATGAGCAGTTATAAAAACTAGTATTACTGTAATTTTGCTTTATAATTCCACTTTTTATTTTCTATATTATTTAAAAGACTAATGCCTAAAAAGCAATTATTAATCTATGTTTTTTATTCTATTTTTTTGATGAGGAAGACTGGCCCTGAGCTAACATCTGTGCCCCTCTTCCTCTATTTTGTATGTGGGATGCTGCCACAACATGGCTTGATGAGCGGTGTGTAGGTCTGTGCCCGGGATCCAAACCCACAAACCCCCTGGCCTGCTGAAGTGGAGTGTGCAAACTTAACTACTCTGCCACTGGGCCGGCCCCTAATCTATGCTTTTTGGACACACAATGCATAAAGATGTAATTTGTGACCTAAATAACTGAAAGGATGTGGGGATGAAGCTATATAGGAGAAGAGTTTTTATATGCTATTGAAGTTAAGCTGGTATAAATTCAAATTAAAATGTTATAACTTTAGGATGTTAAATGTATTCTCCGTGGTAACCAGGCAGAAAATAGCTATGAGATATACACAAAAGGAAGCAAGAAGGGAATTAAAATATTTCACTACAAAAAAATCAACTAAACACAAAAGAAGACAGTAATGCAGGAAACAAAGAACAAAAATCTGCGAGGCATATAGAAAACAAATAGGAAAATGGCATAAGTCCTCCCTTATTAGTAATTACTTTAAATGTAAATGGATAAAATTCTCCAATCAAAAGATAGAGATTGACAGAATGGGTTAAAAAAACAAACAAAAACACATGATCCAATTACATGCTGACAACAAGAGACTGATTTTAGATCCAAAGACACAGATATAAAAGTGAAAGAACGGAAAAAGATATTCTATGCAAATAGTCACCAAAAGAGAGTGAGAATGGCTATACTAATATCAGACAAAATAGATTTTAAGTCAGAAGGTTACAAGAGACAAAAGAAGGACATTATATACAATAAAATGTTAAATACAGCAAGAAGATATAATAATTATAAACATTTACACACTTAATAACAGACCCTCAAACTATATGAAGCAAAAATTGACAGAATTGAAGGGGCAAATAGGCAGTTCCACAATAATAGTTGGAGACTTCAATACCCCACTTTCAATAATGGATAGAACAGACAAAAGATAAGTAAGGAAATAGAGGACTTGAACAATAAACCAATTAGATCTATCAGACATATACAGAACACTTTACCCAACAACACAGAATACATATATCTAATCAATAGAGTATACTATAGTACAATAATATCATATAATATACAGGCATACCTCATTTTATTGTGCTTTGCTTTATTGTGCTTTGCAGATGTTGTGTTTCTTTACAACACCCTCCACTAGCAAAAAGATTATGATTTGCTGATGGCTCAGATAATAATTAGCATTTTTTAGCAATAAAGTATTTTTAATTAAGTTATGTACATTGGTTTTCTTAGACATAATGCTATTGCACACTTAATAGACTACAGTATACTGTAAACATAACTTTTATATGCACTGGGAAACCAAAAAAATTGTGTGATTCACTTTATTGCGATATTTGCTTTATTGTGGTAGTCTGGAACTGAATCCACAATAGCTCTGAGGTATGCCTGTAATATAATAAAATATAATATAATATAATATAATAAATATAATATAATCTTCAAAAAATTAACAAAATTGACAAACCTTTAGCTAGATTGAGTAGGAAGAAAAAGAGAGAAGTCTCAAATTACTAAAATCAGAAATGAAAGTGAGGACATTACTACCAATTCTGCAGAAATAAAAAGAATAATAAGAGAATGCTATGAAAAAAATTACACAACAACAAATTGGATAACCTGAATTAAATGGAGAATTTTCTAGAAACATACCAAGACTGAACCACAAAGAAATAGTAAATCTGAATAGAGCTATAAGTAGTAAGGAAATTGAATCAGTAATTGAAAAGTTCCCAACAAAGAAAAGCTCTTGTCCTGGTGGCTTCATTGGTGAATGCTACCAAAAATTTAAAGAACAACTAGCACAATCCTCATCAACTTTTCCAAAAAATTGAAGAGAGAACTCTTTATAACTCATTCATTGCCCTATACCAAAGCCAGACAGAGACACTATAGGAAAAGAAAACTACAGACAAATATCACTTTTGAACATTGATGCAAAAATCCTCAACAAAATACTAACAAACCAAATTCAGCAGCATATTAAAAGGACTATACACCATTACCACGTGGGATTTATTCCTGGAATGCAAGGATGGTTCTACATACAAAAATCAATCAATGTAAAACACCACATTAACAGAATGAAGGAAGTAAACCATATGATCATCCCAATTGATGCAGAAAAAGCATTTGACGTAATTCAACATACCCTTTCATGATAAAAACACTCAACAAACTAGGAATAGAAGGAAACTACCTCAATATAATAAAGGCCATATATGAAAAGCCCACAGCTAACATCATACTCAATGGTGAAAGATTGAAAGCTTTTCACCTAAGATTTAGAACAAGACGAGATGTCTGCTTTTGCCTCTTCTATTTAACACAGTACTGGCAGTTCTAGCCAGAGCAATTAGGCAATAAAAAGAAATAAAGTGCATCCAAATTGGAAAGGAAAAAGTAAAATTATCTCTGTTCACAGACAACATGATCTTGTATGTAGAAAACCCTAAAGATTCCATTAAAAAACCTATTGGAACTAATAAACAAATTCAGCAAAGTAGCAGGGTACAAAATCAACACACAAAAATCAGTTGTGTTTCCATACACTAACAATGAACAATCTGAAAGGGAAATTAAGACAAAAATTCCATTTACAATAACATTGAAAAGAATAAAATATTTAGGAATTAACCAAGGAGGTGAAAGACTTCTACACTGGAAACTACAAAACGTTGCTGACAGAAATTAAAGAAGATATACATATAACAATATTTCATCTTTTTTATGGCTGAGTAGTATTCCATTGTGTATATATATATATATACTGTATATAGTGTGTGTGTGTGTGTGAGAGTGGGAGGAGGGTGAAATGGGTAAAGGGGGTCAATCATATGGTGACAGATGGAAACTACACTTTTGGACGTGAGCACACTGTAGTATATACAGATGTAGAATTATAATGTTGTATACTTGAAACCTATGCAATGTTATAAACCAATGTTACCTCAATAAAAAAATAAAAAAGATAAAAAATAAAGTTGATAATAAAAAAGAGATAAATAAATGGAAAGACATCCCGTGTTCAGGGATTGGAGGGCTTAATATTGTTAAGATGTCAATACTACCCAAGAAATCTATAGGTTCAATGCAATCCTTATCAAAATCCCAAGGATGTATTTTGCAGAAATAGAAAAATCCATCCTGAAATTTACATAGAATCTCAAGGGAGCTCGAATAGCCAAAACAGTCTTGAGAAAGAACAAAGCTGGAGGTTTCACACTTCCTGATTTCCAAATTTGTTATAAAGTTACAATGATCAAACAGTGTGGTACTGGCATAAAGGCAGACATATAGACCAATGGAATAGAATAGAGATGCCAGAAATAAACCCTTGCATATATCATCAAATGATTTTTGACAAGAGAGCTAAGACCATTCCACGGGGAAAGGACTTTTCAACAAATGGTATCAGGAAACTGGATGTCTATGTGCAAAAGAATGAAGCTGGACCCTTACCTTATACTATACACAAAAATTAGCTCAAAATGGATCAAAGACCTACATGTAAGAGATAAATAGAACTCAGATAAAAACATCGAGTAAAAGCTTCATGACATTGGCTTGGTGATTTCTTGGATATGACACCAAAGATACAGGCAACAAAAGAAAAATTAGACAAATTGGACTTCACCAAAATTAGAAACTCTTGTTCATCAAAGAACACTATTAGTAGAGAAAAAAGGAAACCCACGAAATGGGACAAAATACCTGCAAATCACATATCTGATAAAGGATTAATATTCAGAATATAAAAAGAACTCCTAATACTCAGATCCAAAAAAACAAAAAAGAAAAATACAATTCAAAAAAATGGGCAAAGGACTTGAGTATACAGTTTTCCAAAGAAGATATACAAACAGCCAATGCACATGAAAAGATACTCAACGACATTAGTCATTAGGGAAACGCAAATCAAAACCACAATGAGATACAACTCATACCCATTAGTGTGGCTATCTTACTAAAATAAAATAAAATAAAATAAAACAATAGCAACAACAGTAAAACAGAAAAAAAATGTTGGTATGGGTGTGGACAAACTGGAAACCTTGTGCATTGCTGGTGGGAATGTTAAATGGCACAGTTGTGGAAAAGTGTGTGACAGTTCCTCAAAGATTTAAACAGGGAATTACCATTTGATCCAACAATTCCACTTCTGAGTATATGCACAAAAGGATGGGAAGCTAGGACTCGACAGATACTTGTACACTCCGATGTTCATAACAGCGTTATTCACAAGAGCCAAGAAACGGAAACAACTCAATGTCCATCAACAGATGAATGGATGAACAAAACGTGGTTATGTAAGAAAACACTCCTGTGCTTCTCATTCCCTCTCATTCTACTACCACACTTCACTTCTGACAACAGATCTGTGGGTTTTCCACACATCAAGCAATTTTCCACACCAGCTGGGTGTGCTACGATTGAACTCAATTCTGATACTATCTCCAGAGATAATGTCAGATCCCACAAGTTAAGCACTCAGTCCCTCAAGACTGCCCACCCCCCACTTCAGATGCCAATCACAAGTCCCAGATTGTCACCTGTACTTCTGACTGGCTAGAAAGCAGGGTTCCTGTGACCCCTTCCTTGGGCTTGGTATTTTGCTATAACGGTTCGCAGAACTCAAGGAAACACTTCTACTGGTTTACTATAAAGGATATAATAAACAATATGGATGAACAGCCAGATAGAGATTAATAGGGCGAGGTCCAGAAGGGTCCCAAGCGCAGGGGCTCCTGTCCCTAAGGAGCTGGTATGTACCAACCACCCTCTCGGCATCTAACCCAGAACCTCAGGTTTGGGGATTTTTAAGGAGGCTTCATCAGGAAGGCAGGATCGATGATTAACTCAATCTCCTGCCCCTCTCCCCTTCCTGGAGGATGAGGGGTGGGGCTGAAAGTTGCAAGTTCCAGTCAGGAACCGGGGTCCAAGACCCAAGCGGCTAGAGTACTTATCACTTAGGAAATTACAAGAGTTTTAGGAGCTCTGTGCCGGGAACTAGAGGCAGAGACAAATATACGTTTTCTATTATTTCACGGTGGTATATACACACAATGGAATATATTCAGCCTTCAAAAGGAATGAAATTCTAACAAATGCTACAACATGGATGAACCTTGAAGACGTTATGCTAAGTGAAATAATCCAGTCACAAAAAGACAAATATTGTACGATTCTGCTCATATGAAGGACCTAGAGCAAATTCATAGAAACAGAGAGTAGAATAGTAGTTAACAGAGACAAAGGGGGAGGGGGAATAGGGAGTTAGTAATTAATGGGGACAAAGTTTCACTGTGGAAAATGGATGATGGTGATGGTTGCGCAACAATGTGAATTCACTGAATACCATTGAACTGTACACTTAAAAATGGTTAAAATGATCAATCTTTTGTATATTTTACCACAATAAAAATTTCAGGAAAAAAGTTAAATATAAACCGTTAAAAAATGTTTCATGGGCCAGCCCAGTGGCTCAAGCAGTTAAGTGCGCGCGCTCCGCTGCGTCGGCCCGGGGTTCGCTGGTTCGGATCCCAGGCACGCACTAACGCACCGCTTATCAGGCCATGCTGTGGTGGCGTCCCTCATAAAGTGGAGGAAGATGGGCATGGATGTTAGCCCAGGGCCAGTCTTCCTCAGGAAAAAAAGAGGAGGATTGGCAGATGTTAGCTCAGGGCTGATCTTCCTCACAAAAAAAAAAAAAAAATGTTCCATGAGAGCAACCGAAAAAAAAATTGCAGCCAAGGTCAGAAACAGTAAGTGGACAGTCTGTCTGCAAGGCCGGTGGTCCCAAGCCCTGTGCTTTATGGAGCAATTTGTAGCCCAAAGAAGAAGGGATGCTTATGGGAGACGCATGTGCCCCTGCACTGCCCCACCTATGGAACCAGCCACTCTGGGAGGGGGCTGGGAATCCACAGTGAGACCAGTGCCCCCAGGAGAATGTGGTGCACTTTGAGTGTGGGAACCACTGGTCTGCTCCGGAACACCCCGAGGCCCCTTCCCTGCATGCTCCAAAACCAGAACCTCATGGGAGACGGGTGCAAAGACCCCTCACCTCCCTGAGCCCTCTTCCCACCCTCCCCGCGTGTCTCCCTCCATGTGCTGGAAAAACAGCTCCTGCTGAAATTCCCGTTCCAAGTCCCCCTGCTTGTTGGCTTTGATAATAGCCCTGCCCCCTCCCACCCTCCCCAGCTGCGGGCTTCCTAGGGGATTATTTCATAGACCAAGTTGGATTAGGCTCCGAACATCACTATCTGTGAACTAGGCGACATGGGTGGGCCATTTAGACTCTGCGTCAGCTTCCTCGGTATAAAATAGAGTTGAAAATAATGCCCACCTCTGGCCGGGCCCATTCCACCTTCTAATTTTCTTGTGTTTGTCTCCTCTTCCCCAGTCTCAGTGCACAGCCCGAGTTTGGGGCTCGTCATCTCCCCCAGGATTGGCAGTCTCCGTACCTGGCCTCCTTGCCTCCTGCTCAGCTCCCTCCAACCCTTTCTCCCCTCTTCTGCCAGAATCATCTTTTTAAATTTCAAGCTGATTGGCCGTTCTCCTGCTGAAAAGCTTCAGTGGCTCCCACTGCTCCCAGGCACGGTTGATCTTCAGTGACATGGCCCGGGGGTCCCGTGACCCTGTCCCTGGTGACAGCCCTGCCCCCCAGCCTCAAATCTGGCCCCTTGAAGTCTCAGCTACAGCACTGCTGGTGTCTTGGGGGCTGCCCCCCAGCACGCACCATCTCTGTGCCAGGGTCAGGGGCAGGGCAGGGCAGGTCATTCCCCCATGTTTGTCGAGCCCGGCTCTGGCCTGGGAGCTGAGGACAGAGACGGACCTGCCCCAGTCCTGCCCTGTGTGGCTCCACCTTTTCGGCCCTTCCCCTCCCTGCCTTGCCTGGCTCCCTCCCGCGTGTCCTTTGGCACTCAGGTCCCAGGTCACCACCTCCAGGAAGCCCTTCCTCTCTCACTGCCCCTGTCATCGTGCAGTGAAATCTTTGCTCTAGCCCTGGTCGCCTCCACGCCTGTCTTTGATCCCCTTTTGGGCAAGGCCCCGTGCAGTGTGCAGCCTGGAGCCGGGTGGGCTTGCCCCAAATTTGAGTTCTCTCTTCCCCTCTCTTCCTGCTGTCTCTGGGATCTCGTGCCTCCTCCTCTCCTTGTTAATCCTCCAGGATGGGGACTAAAATTCTACCCACCTCACAAGATTGCTGTGAACATCAGTCACAGCTGTGATCAGTGCTCTAGGTGACCTGATTTCATGGGTCATCCCCATTGTACAGAGGAGAAAATTGAGGCCCAGGGAGTTAGAGCTGCAGTTCTCAGCCCTGCAGTCTGTCTGCAGAGCCTGGGCCATGCCATTCTGCCTTTCTCTATAGAAAGCAAAATGGTGAGTAAAGCAGCTCTCGGAAAAGGACCCAGCAACGTTAAGAATGCAGAGTGTCAATATTATTCATGAATTTCATTTCATGTACGTCCTCCTTGTCCCTCTTTTCTGAAGTGATGCATGTAGTTAACACCCACTGTGTTCTCTATTTTCCCCAGTGCCCCTGCGGGCCAGGTGCAGGCCTAGGCCCTCTGCATTTCAACCTCATAGTGTGTGGTGTAACGCACAGAGCTCCATTCTATCTGCAGTCTCCTTGCCCCGGGGCACCCAGCAAGGAGGTGTGTGCCACTCTGCAGAATGCATAGTCTGCGCCATCCCAGCCGGCACCACTCTCCCCGCCCTCACTGCATCCCCCAGCAGCGGTGCTGCCTTGCGCTGATCCATCCTGGCTCTCAGACTGTCTCTGAGGCTGTCCTGCTGTTTGGCTGGGCTTAGGAGCATCGTTGTGGCGTGAAGGGGAACGGCTCTTAGCTCAGTGTCCACCCCTTCCCCAGGGTTGCATTGTGTCATTGCTGGATGCCCTAATGCTCAATGCCCCATTAAAAAACAATTAAATTAGCAAGCTGCAGACATCGCTTCCTTCTGGAGGCCGGGCAGTTGCAAGAGGGCTGGAAAGTGCTCAGGCGTTACTCACGGTCTGCGGTGAGTTCAGGCTGCAGCTGCTGGCTGGGTCCTGCTGTCCAGGGGCCTAAGACGTGTACAGTAAAAGCTGGCAGGGCCGCCGCTGCTAAATCTTGTTTGCCAGCTTCCCTGCTGGTTAATGGTTAGAGGGGGGCCAGTGGCTTTCACCATTCGGTGGCCCCCTCCCCCCAGCCATTAACCAATGCGAGGCTTCCAGGAAATTTGAGTAAACACGGCAATGCCGCAAATTAACTTTCCTCTGCCTTCAATTCCCTGAAGTTTTATTTTTTAATGTATCAAAATGTAGCTGGATTTGCGTCAATATTTGTGGTTGCCCGGTGGCAGCTGGCACGGGAGCCAAAGTTGCCCCTCATTAGCACAATGGCGCTGACAGCTGTGAAGAACCAGGTGCTAAGCTCCGGCTAGGGATGGGTCCAGCAAGGTCCTGCCTTTGAGGGGACCTCTGTGTGGTGGGAGAGACAGACATGGAATAAAAGCAGCCAAATAATCCAGCTTCCCATGGATTAACTCATTTAATCTCCACAGCAACTTTATGAAGTAGATACTGTTATTGTCACTCTTCTTTAGATGAGGAAACTGAGGCACATGAAGCTTAAGTGAGCTGCCCTTGAGATTGAAACTCGACCATGCAACTCTAAATTCTAGCACCTTCTTTCTTCCCCACATTATTCATCAATTCTCTTTTGATTACAGGTGACAGAGACCAAACTCAAACTGCTTTAAAGCAAAAAATAATATTTATTGGATCTCATGAATGAGAGTTCTGAAGGATGGAGAGGCATTCAGGCATTGCTGGATCCAGGGGTCCCAAGTTGGTCATCAGATCTCTGTCTCTTTAAAATTCACTCTTAGCTTTTCTTTCTTCTGCTTTCCTGCTTTAGTCTCTCTACAGCGGGAACAAATGTGGCCACTGCAGCTCCAGGTTATTTGGTTCTAACTGGTTATTTGATATCAGGAGAGAGACTCACTTTTTTCTCAGTGTTCATATTAGCCCCCCAAAGGACCCTGATCATGATTGCCCACCCTCGGACTGATCACAGTGCGCATTGTGAATGCCCAGCCAGGGTCCTGTGTCTTCTGCTGGGTTGACAGCACCATTACTTCCCTCCAAGGATGGGCGAGCTGTTTCCACAAGGAAAGGGGATAAGAGCGCCCACAGCTGCGTCTAGAGTTTTGGGGGCACTTCAGTTTTATTAATCCTTATTGGTCTTTTCAAGGTTTTTCTTCCTTAAGCCAATTTTGGAATTTATTCTAGGAATTTATATATTTCATCTAAGTTTTCAAATTAAATACCATAGAGTTATTCATAATGGCTTGCCATTATTATTTTTAAATCTCTGTCATATCAGTAATTATTTTTAATTTTTTTTTGGTTCTATATTTTACTTGGGTATTTTCTCTCTTTTTTTCCTTTGATAAGTCTTGTTAGGGAGATCTGTCTAGCTAATTAGTCTTTTCAAAGGACTAGCTTTTAGTTTCGTTAATCTTTACTGGATTTTTTAATCTATATTTCATTGATTTCTGCCTTTATCTTTATTTTTACTATCCTTTCAAATTCTCTGGGTTTTTCTCTGTTGCTCTTTTTCTATTTTCTTGAGTTAAATGCCTAGCTTTCCTATTTTTTAACATTTCTGGTGTCTTTGTAAATGTATTTAAAGTTAAAAGTTCTCATCTAAATACTGACTTAGCTACGTCCCCCAAATTTTTGATATTTACTATTCTCTTTGTTATTTTTTTCTTAGTAGTTCTTAATTTTCTTTATGGTTTCATTTTTATCCCAAGAGTAATTTAGTAATGTGACATTTAGTTTATTTACAATTTTAGACTGCTCTTTTGTTATTAACTTTTACTTTTGTTTCATTATAGTCAAAGAATATCCTTTCTATGATATTGAACATTTGGAACTTATTGAGGCATTTTTGCAATCATGTATGGTCTATTTTTGTAAATGTCCCATATTTTCTTAAAAAATAATGGGTATTATCTGTTCAACATGCATATATATGTATACATATATCTATATGTATAAAGCTTGAGCTCATTATTTTATTCAACTCTTCAATATCTATGTTGATTCTTTACTCACTTGAGGTTTAGTTTCTCAATAGGGAATGTTAAAATCTCTAATAACAAATTTTCTTTTTTTTTTTTTTAAGAAAGATTTTATTTATTTATTTTTCCCCCAAAGCCCCAGTAGATAGTTGTCTGTCATAGCTGCACATCCTTCTAGTTGCTGTATGTGGGACGCGGCCTCAGCATGGCTGGAGGAGAGGTGCGTCGGTGCGCACCCGGGATCCAGGATCCGAACCCGGGCCGCCGGCAGCAGAGCGTGCACACTTAACCACTAAGCCATGGGGCCGGCCCATCTAATAACAAATTTTCATTCATTTATCTCTCTGTCAGTTGTTGCTTGATATACTTTGTGACTGTTAAAGCATATGTACTTTTGGTAATTATATCCTCTTGCTCTATTGTTCATTTTTCTTTTATTTTTGTTCCATATGACACATTTTTCTCTTAAATTCTATTTTTTTCTAATAAGATTGCTTTCCTAACTTTCTTTTGGTTCACACTTGCCTGATATAGTCCAGTGTTTCATTTCCAAACTGTCTGTGCCTTCTTGTTTTCAGAATGTCTCATGTACATAACATTGTGTTAGATTTATTTTTATTATCCAAAAATGAGGGTCTCTGTCTTTTTATTGGCAAAATTAACCTATTTACATTTATTTTAATTATTGTATTAGAATTGACATACCATTTTGTTTCATGTTTTTTCATTTATTCTGTATTCTTTTTCTTCTTGTGTCTTTTACTTCTTTGCATCGAAAAGATTGAATTTTCTCCTATTGGTTTAAAAGACATTCATTCTATTTTTGATTTTATGGCGATTGCTCTTTACTAAAAAAACACTAAAAACTTCCAGCTGAGGGCCTACCCCTCATGGAACAGAGACCGCCCATCCCCGCTGTGCCTTGTCTGAATTCCTGTCCCACAGAACCCAAGAGCCTAATAAATGGTTGTTTTAAGCTACTAAATTTTTGGATAATTTATTAGGCCATAGTACCCAGAACAGCTTTGGGTACCTGGTAGCAGGGTGCTGTGAAACGAAAGCCTAAAACTGTGGCAGCAGTTCTGGGATCCATTGGCCAAGGGGAGTTGGAAAGGCCTTATAAAGACTGTTAGTGGATGCCTGGTGGCCCTCGAGGAGGCTGTTGGTGAGGGCTTACAGGAAAGTGGGG